TTCAGTACTTTTCAACAAGTTTAGTTGATAAATATTTACTGAGCACTTACTATGTACTGCATTATACTAGACTCTAGAGACTAGCAAAGAATGAGTAAAAGGTGTTTTCTGCCCCAAGGAGTTTAGAGTCTGGGTATATATTCTGGGATTAGAGAGTTATAGAAGGCATCCTTTAAAAAAAGAAAAAAGGCACCTGAGCTAAAACATGAAGGATGAGTAGGCTTTAGCTAGGTAAAGGATAGGAGAGAAAAGGTTCTCCAGGCAGAGGGAACAGCAGGAACAAAGACAGGGAAGTACAAGACAGCTTTGAATTGCAAGTAGTTCAGAATTCATGGAGTAAAAAGCATGTGATAGAGAACACTGGGAGATAAAAGAGGACTTACAGTTTACCTAGAGAGACAGAAATTTGGTAGAATTTCAACATGTATCGGCCTAAATAGGAGAAGCTAAAGATTCCATTTCCAAATGAGCCAACACCTTCATTAGCACACAACTTTCATCAGCTGAGCTTCTCAATCTAGAAAATACTATTTTAGGTCACAAAAATGATGAGTATTTTCAGGCTTGCATTATGAAACACTGGACAAGTTCCTTTGTTATTCTTTGTGTTTTTAGTTCCTCATTTGTAAATTGGGATAAGAACCATGCCTTATTCACAGGGTTGTTGTTGTAAATGAGGTAATGTGGTCACATACCTCAAACAGTATCTCCCACACAGCAAGTGATCGAGGGGTCCCTTGAGGAGTCTGCATGGCAGATATGGCCGGACCAACTCTAGGATCCCCCACAAAAAAATCAGAAAGTGATCAACAAATGCTAGCTAGTATTATTTATGAGCTGCTCTAGTCTCATGCATCCCAGAGATGCTGGGGCTGGGGGTGGGTGCTGCGATCAATGAGAGAGCATATAGGAGAAGATTTTTCTCAACACATGACTATGGCCATTTGCATGTAAAAATTATTTCTGACCCAATGTCCTGTCTAGATTTACCATCATGGTACATAAACTCTTTGACCCTGAAAAAGTCATAATTTCTGTGAGTTCTGGTTTCCTTACTTAAAAAATGGGGACAGTGATACTTGTTTCACATTTTATAAAGACAAAATAAGGCAACTTATAAGACATACTTAACCCGCTACTAGAGCCTACAGATCTGGAAGAAATAAAGATCCCTCCATCAGTGGGTCTTCTGGTGGGTGGTGGGGAAGAAACCCCTTCATAACAAAGCTGACAAGGCTTAAAAATTAATTAAATCACAAGTGTAAATAAAACATGTATGCTAAGCAATACTCTCCTTTCATCATGAGAAACAATACCTATTGACCTTGACCTGGCAAACATACTGACACCTAGAAGAGTGGAGTTGAGCAGGGTCGACCATGTCACCGTTCCCTGGCCCCTGCCCTGCCCTGCCCATCTTTTCCAGCCTACCCAAGCTGTTGGTTGTGGGTGGAGAATAAAAGAGAACAAAAACTGTGGTATGTTCAGAATGTTGCCTTTTTTGTTTCTTTTTCCTCAATCAACATAAATGATAATTGTCATTTTCACTTGTTAATTGACCAATTATATTTTGGTTCCATAATGTGCTAGTATTTGCATTTTTAGCCTGTTGTCTCTTATTCTGGAATGAAAAGGTTTTTATCTCTAGAATTTCCTACATCAGCAAACATTTTAGAAGTAATCACACGACTGATTAATTACTTTTGACAGATTAAGTACCTTTAATATTACTTCTCTTCTTGTTCTAACTCTCCTTCCTTACCTCTTTCTAACCCAGTCTCTCATTTGCTCAATCCACGAACATACCCTTCTTCCTTTCTCTCAAATTTCCCCTCTGTCCAGAATATTATACTCTCCTTCTCTGACTAGTAAAATCTAACTCAGCTTTGGAGACCTTGCTCAATGGGCAACCCCCATGAAAGGTGTTCTCTGGCAGGAAGCCCTTCCCTACTCTTTTAATAAAATTAGACCTTTTCTCTCAAGATCTTAGAGTATGCTATCCTTATCTCTATGAAAGCATTTGCCATCTTATATTGTAAGTAGTGTAATGTCTGTACTTCCAAATAGACTATAACTACCTAAGGGCACGAACGGTATCTTATGTAAAGTGATCAAGTATTTGTTGCTTGGGTAAATAAAACAAGAATGTATTCCTGGATGCTCATCCCAGCCTGTATCCTTTGATGCCTTCTTTAAGCCCTGGAGGAGTCAACCCTTCTCTAGCACAAACCCTTTAGCATGTCCCTTCCTCTCTCTTAGTACAGCTACCCATCCTTTACCCCAAGGCTACCAAATGCATGTTTTAAACTTTACAGAAAATATTGTGTTATCTGGTATTTTTTTAGGGTAGGGCATTGGACTGTGTCCCTGTTCTTCCTGTATTGTTTTTCTAACCAATGTTTCCTCTAATTTTGAAATCCTTTCATGGAGGTTCTTTATATTTTAGGTGCTGTCATTCAAAGTCTGCAAGACGGATGAATGGATGTAAGAATGGACAAATGTATGAACACAACACCACTTAGATTACTGGCAACAACTCTCGGATCGAGTGTGTCACAGTCTCGTCATTTATTCGGTACTCGATACATAAGGGAGAGAGATTTAAAATATCCCTTATCGGCCTTTTCTCTGCATCTTAGCTTGGTTTCTGTCAGTGATTCCCAGCGTTGAGAAGTAAGGATTAATCTGTGATGTTAGACCTGAACTCTAAGAGAAAAGGGCTTAGGACTTGATTTCTGGAAGTCAGCTGACCCCTGCTTGTCACCAAACCCAGCCCATTATTTTCCCTCTCCCCACAGCATTCAGCCATTTATCCATTCAGGGGAGGTGACATGCCTCACTTCTATATTTCCAATCACCTCTCAACCATATGGAACATGTAGGTGGACTGTCTTTCAGAGGGCATCCCACACAGCTTTGAGGAGCTCTGCAGCTCTGCTCACCCCTTTCTGCATTGCGGCAGATCCAAAAGGTGAAAAAAAGGATTGGGGTGTTACTAGCCCTGCTCCCCCCACTAGCACCACACAGCTCTTCAGAGGTTTAGTCTTCAAAAGCCACTTAATATTCCTGCAGACTCTCTGTGTTTAAAAAAAAACAGTATCCATGACAACTCTGAGCAAAAAAGACCAAGAGTAGCCTGTTTAATTCTTAGGCACATGTTCTATGGAGCATATGACATGCTTACAAAAATGTCTGGCGGGATGTACCTTAAGTCCTTAGGTCCACGTATCTTAGGACCTATTTACACATTACTCAGGTGGGGGCCTACTCCCTGGGTATCCCCCAGGGGGCACCAAAGAGCTGTTTCTTTTTTTAGAACATAAGGGTATACATTCCGGATGTCTCTTTCTGGGCCACATGAATCCCAGTGGACAGGTTCTATTGTACAGACTTCCTGGGATCAGCCCAGCTCACAGGGAACTGCGGATCCCCATGACACTGTCGGCTGCTGTTCTCGGCCAAATCTAAGGACAAAAACACACCAAGAGGCAGAGCACTTAGAGCTGATTCAGGAGTTTCAAGCAACATCACCAGATTCTTGTTGTGAAGCAAAGGGTTGTCGCTGAGAAAACTCACACTGCAGACTATACCCAGATATCTAGAGTGGTCCAAGCTAGCAACAGAGAATACGGTACTTGCCAACTGGACTGGGACTCCTGGGCTGCCCATGCTGAGGCTACAGATTCTCAAGGTACCACGTGAACGTCCTGAGTTTTTCTGAGATGTAAACCAGGAGTACAAGTGGGAAGACAGAATTCATTGCTTCAATAGTCCCCCCTTATCCGTGGTTTCACTTTCCACAGTTTCAGTTAATCACAGTCTGAAAATATGATATGAAAAATTCCAGAAATAAACAATTTATTAGTTTTAAATTGCACATCCTTCTGAGTAGCATGACGAAATCTTGTGCCATCCTGCTCCATCCCACCCATGAATCATCCCTTTGTCCATCGTAACCCGTATACACCACTCACTTGTTTGTCACTCAGTAACTGTCTGGGTTATCAGATTGACTGTTGCGGTATCACAGTGCTTGTGTTCAAGTAACTCTTATTTTACTTAATAATGGCCTCAAAGTGCATGAGTAGTAATTCTGGCAAATTGTTATAATTGTTCTATTTTATTAGTAGCGATTTTTCTTGGTCTTTTACGGTGCCTAATTTATAAACTAAACTCTATCATAGGTATGTATGTATAGTAAAAAACATAGTATATATAGTGTTTGGTACTATCCAAGATTTCAAGCATCCACTGGGGTCTTGGAAGGTATCCCCTACAAATAAGGGGGGACTATTGTACAGGTAATTGTCCATAAACCACAACCCCCAGCACATAGCTAACATTGCTTATTTGGACAGAGACACCACAATGACAACAATGTTCATAATCCAGACTAATCCATGGGCCACATTTTTTTTTATTTCTGCATATTATGTGAGTATAAATGTTTAGGTTATGTTGCCATTGCCCCCCCTCCAGTCAGAGCTTCAAGCATATCCATCCCCCAGACGGTGCACATCGCACTCATTATGTTTGTATATACCCATCCTCTCCTCCCCCTTCCCATCTGCCCGACGCCACATAAATGTTATTCCTATATGTGCACTTAGGTGTTGATCAGTGAAACCAATCTTCTGGTGAGTACATGTGGTGCTTATTTTTCCATTCTTGAGATACTTCGCTTAGTAGAATGGGTTCCAGCTCTATCCAGGAGAATACAAGAGGTGCTATATCACCATTGTTTCTTATAGTTGAATAGTACTCCATGGTATACATATACCACATTTTATTAATCCACTCATATACTGATGGGCACTTGGGTTGTTTCCACATCTTTGCAATTGTGAATTGTGCTGCTATAAACATTTGAGTGCAGATGTCTTTTTTATAGAATGTGTTCTGTTCTTTTGAGTAGATGCATGGGCCACATTTTTATAAGACATCACTATTCCATAGTACTGCTTCTAAAGGGGTAACAATTATCCACCCACATGACTTACCTTCTCAAAGTCTCGAAGAGCTTGAGTCTGCACCTGAGGGGGTTTCTCAAATGCTCTCAAGGAATATGTCTGCCCAAAGGGGGCCTTCTCACCACTTCTCCAGGTCTGTGACTGTATCGGAGGGCCTCGATCTTTAGTGTCACTAAGAAAAGCTGTCAATGAAACAGAACAACAACAAAAAAGATTTATATATAACGATGTGCAATTTAAACCTATGATCATTCTGACCAGCACATTCCAGCAGAATTTGGTTTCTGCAAAAAAATAACAAACCAATTCTAGGCCACATAGAAACTGTTCATATAAAGCAACCTGTTGTAGATCATATTAATAATAGTCTCCAGTGAATCAAACTACTTTGTGTCTATGCCCCTTTGCAATGTGATGTTCATGCTCCTCCCAGCAGGAGGTGGAGTCTAATTCTCCACCTATGGAATCTGGGTTGGCCAAGTTGCTTGCCTTGTCAATAGAATACGATGAAAATGTCACCATATGAGTTCCAGAGACTAGGCCTCAAGAAGTCTTGCATTTCTACGTTTGTCTTCTTAGCACCCCAAGTCCACCGTGCTGTGAAGAAGCCCAGTCTACCCTACTGGAGGAAGAAAGACCAAGTTCAGGGAAATGAAGATGCCCTAGCTGGCAGCCAATCACTTCCTGCCAGACATGTGAGCAAGGCTGTCTGGGACCCTCAGCCACAATCATGCAGTCAGAAAAGTGCAGTCATCTGAGTGATCCCAAGTAAGACCAACAGAAAAAAAACGCCCAGTCTGTCAAAACAGAATTGTGAGAAATAAAAAATCATTGTTGTTTTGAGCTAGGGGAGGGCAAACTTTTCCTTCCAGAACCAGACAGTGTTTTAGGCTTCTGGGCCATATTGTCTCTGTCACAACTACTCAACTCTGTCCTTCTAGCACAAAGCAGACCTAGCAATATGTAAATGAATGAGCATGACTGTGTTGCTATAAAACTTTATTTATAAAGCTATTGGGCTCATGGGCTGTAGTTTGCTGACCCCTATTTTAAGCCACTAAGTTTTGGGGTGGTTTAATACACAACAAAAGATAACTGAAATAGTTTTTAGAAGAAAAAAAAATCAATATACTTAAGTATACCTACAAATCTCTCTACAGAGAATTTTTTAGGTTACTATTTAGGAATAATAACATTTGTAACAACCAACATCTTTAAAGGGCATTACAGGTTACAAAATAGTTTCACATGAATTATTTCATGTATAAAGTCACTGCAACAAATGCAATAGACATATGTGATTATTAAAGTTTGTTTGCCCAAAATCACATTGCTTAAAAAGTGGCAGAACTAATCCTAAATTCTCTCCACTGTGTTTCTTAGCAAGTACACTGATACAGTGTTACTTTAGCAATTACAGGGATTGTAAGAGATCTAAGAGTCAAGGGGAAAACAAGCAAAGGGCCAGAGACTCAATCATCCCCTTAACCAATGGAAACACTGCTCTAGGAGAACATAGTGAAGGCTAAGCTGCTATTAACCCTATGCCTGCTTTTGAGAAATAACACTGTGAAAGAGTAAGAAATCAGAGTCTCAGTCAAGCACAGTACACAGAGGATCTTTGGGGCAGGGTTGAGGTTACAAGCAGAAGACATAAAAAACTACATCTCTTCTTGGCTGATGGAAGGAAATAAGGAGCATTTATTACTGAACTACTTTTTTAAATAAGAAAGAATGACAGCCATCACAATGCACGAGCTCCATAGACAGTGTCAGGGAAGTAAGAGCAAAACCTCACTGGGTGACTCTGCCTCGCTAAAGAAAAGTTAGCTGGACATATGGGCAGGTGTGGTCCTAAGAAGCCAAGAGGCAAAATGTCATGTGCTCTTCTTCTTTTTTTTCCTTTTCTCCCCTCCTTTTTCCCTTCCTTTCTTCTTTCCCTCCCTCTCTCTCCTTCCCTCTCTCCATCCCTCCCTCCCTTCCTTCTCCAAACTTGCCAAAGGAACACAAGAAAAAATACCCAGATGCTTCAGTCAACTTCTCAGAATTTTTTTTAAATGCTTAGAAAAGATGGAAATTCATATCTGAGGGAGGGTGGACAAGGTCCATTACAAAAGTGAAATGAAAACTTATTTTGTTCTGAAAATTGTCCCCAAATCACAGGAGAACATCCTGGCTTATTCTCTGGTGATGTTGTAAGGAAAGTGAGAGAAATGAAGAATTACTGCTGTAGATAATATATAGCCTTAAGGAAAGCAAGGCTTTCAAGATAAAGGAAAATATAAAAAGGCTATTACTATATTCTGGGTAAAGGAAAGTCCGATGCAGGGAAAAAGAAAGTTGGAAAAACTAGAAAAAAAAAAACAAGAAAAAGAGGAGAAACAAGGATCAGGAAGATGGTAGTGACGAGAAAGATAAAGATGAGAAGAAAATCATGATGATCATCAATAGAGTGAGTGGTTCCAGGACAGTTTTTTTCTTGCCTAAAAGTATTTAACTCCTCATTTATACCATTGACTTTAAAGGAAAAACAAAATGCCAGACCATATGATTTGTTTATAAACTGAACACTGTACGGTGTCTATTTTTTGTCAAATTAACATAGTACCAAGTGTGTCTTTAGATAGCCCTGTCTTTAACGGTATTTTCAATAGCCACTAATCTTGTCTGGTAGAGTTTGGGAGTTTAGATTGGCACAGAAATCTAAAGCAGGTTTTATTGGTACATAGCACAAATTAGTTATATATGGGGATGATAATTTTTCCCCTCTTCAATTTTTTTTTTTTTTTTTTTGAGACAGAGTCTCACTCTGTTGCCCTGGCTAGAGTGAGTGCTGTGGCGTCAGCCTAGTTCACAGCAACCTCAAACTCCTGCGCTCAAGCGATCCTCCTGCCTCAGCCTCCCGAGGAGCTGGGACTACAGGCATGCGCCACCACGCCTGGCTAATTTTTTCTATATATATTTTTTTTAGTTGTCCAGATAATTTCTTTCTATTTTTTTTTTAGTAGAGACGGGGTCTCGCTCTTGCTCAGGCTGGTCTTGAACTCCTGAGCTTGAGCGATCCTCCTGTCTCGACCTCCCAGAGTGCTAGGATTACAGGCGTGAGGCACCGCGTCCAGTCTTCAATTGTTTTTTGATGCAGCTAGTGCAAATAATTGTTCTGTTAATTGTACACTACCCTGTAATTGCAAATAATAATATTTTCTACCCATGAGATGTTCACAAAAATAATATATCTACAGCATGTTGAGCAGAGCAAAAATATAAAATAATAACATAATAATTATGATGATATTGCACCTGTTTGTTGATATTCTGAATGTTTCTAAATAAATTCAAACTTCTTAATTAAAAGAAATTAGAAAGAATGATTTCTTCCACATTTAGGTGAAATGAAATAGGCTACTAAGAGGAAGAGAATCTGCTAAAACAGAACAATAATACAGCACAATTAGAGTGGTGGGATGTGATGAAAAGAGCAGAGCCTTTGAAGATTGGACTTGAATCCTGACCACTGGCTAATTGTGGGAATTTAGGAAAATCCCTTAATTTTACTGAGTTCCATTGCCTCTGTAAAAACAGGGGTAATAATACCTACCTCACAGAGCTCCCATACGGATTAAATAGAATAATAAATGAAAGCACCCCACCACGTGTCTTTTCTGTAGCAGGTGTTTTATCCATTCCCCTTCCATTTTTGTCCTACTCCTTCAACTTTTGCCTCAAAATGCAGGAGGATCTTGACACTGAAAATGTTGAGTGTGGTAGCCCTTGGATTTATGAATTTAACACAGTTTCAAATACCAATTTTTAGTGACTTTGAAGTCCTTAACTTATTTAAATTAAAAACTTTTTTCCACATTGTACATATTAACAATCTTCAGGACTGGTATGAAAAAGACAGTCACTCAGCAAGTGAGTAAAGCCCTCGAGTGGGGAGAAGATTTTGCAAAGAATGGACCCCAAAAGAAAGCTATCTTCACTTTGGTTTTGTGATTGAGGTAGATCGTTGGCTAATGTTAATGCAGTAATGACTGTGCTATAATGAATATGTTAATAAAAATAATACGTAAGATTTCCTGAGCGCTTATTCCTTGATAGGCTCTGTACTAAGAGCTTTTCTCACTTAATCTTACCTATGAGATTGACATTATTATTATACCCATTTTAATGGTGTATTAGGATAGATATTTCACTTTAGTAACAGAATTTATCTCAATCATTTCACAAGTGACTTTAATCTTATAATTAGAGAATCATTAAGAGTATAAAGAGTTCATATAAGTATTTTAGTTATGAATTACTTCATTGTGCTGCTTCTTAGAACATAAAATTACATGTAGTATATAATTCTCCACTGGTAATTAGAGTATGCACAAATTTGAAATTCATGTAAGTTTGAGTATGTTGCGATGATAAACTTTTAATTCAAGGAAATTATGATCAGTAGGAAACCAAGACTTTAACAAGGCAAGATTCATAGCATCCTTACCTGCTGCATGACTTGTTCTGGGTACCATCTCCCCATGGTCCTCTGCAAAATAATCTCTGTGGAGAGAAATATATCATTAATTAATGAAATACTACCCTACAAGGTCCCCAATCCCTAAGAGAGCAAGACATTTATGTGCTGTTTTTATTTAATTCATCCACAATTACTCATCAAGCTTCTACTTTGTATCAGGGACAGTATCAAGTGCTGGGGATACAAAGGCAAACACCACAGAAGAGTTCCTATCCTCGGTAAGTACGTGAAGACCCAGCCATCGAACAAACAATTTCACAAGTATTAATTACTACTGTGGTCAATGTCATGAAGGAAAATGCAAAGGAAACTAGTACAGGGACTCAGAGAAACTTAGAGAAAGGGACACTTAAACCTAGAGAGGGAGGATGTCAGCCAGATAAAGGCTTGGAGCAGAAGAATATTCCATTATGAGAGAACAGCAAACACCCTGAGTCAGGAAGGATCTTGGCCTGCTAGAGGAACAGAGAGAGCCAATGTTGCAACCAGACCACACAGGGCCTCGTGGGACCTGGTAAGGATACTGAGTTTTATGTGAAGGGATATGAGAAGCCATTGAAGGATATTAAACTAGAGAATGAATGATAAATGAGCAGATTTAGTTGCTGAGAGAAACTGTGTGGAGGGGCAAAAGTGAATGGTGAGCATCTATATTCCAAGCAAGAAGTGACGATTTTAACTAAAGGAAAAGAAAATGGAGATGGAGAGAAGGAAAAAAATTCCAGATATATTTAGGAAGAAGAATGGACACAGGAAACTTGACAAACAAAGTCCATTAGTAGAAATGTTAATAACACCAAGATTCAGTAGCAAGAGGTGTATCTGGCCAGCACAGAGGGATGAAAAAAATCTCAAAAATATTCAGCAAATACTTGTCAAGCACCTGCTATGTTTTTAGGCACCATTTTAAGTTCCACAAACATAGCAATTAACAAAACCGACAAAAATCCCTGCACTCATGGAACTTTTAAAGTAAGGAAAGACAAATAAATACAGTGTGTAGCAGCAGTTGGGGACAGGTGCCATAAAAAAAGAAAAGTAGGAATGTAGGTAAGTAGTGCTGGAGGTAGGGGGTGGGGGTTGCAATTTTGAGTAGACAATGCTTCTCTAAGAAGCAACAAGGGTAGAGAATATCGAAGGCATCGGGGAGTGCTGGAGTCTGTGGCTGGGCAGAATGAGCAGGCCGTGGGCGGCAGAAGGCAAGGTCAGGGAAGGAATGGGGGACCCAGCAGGGGCCACAGACTGTCTAAAGCCTTTCTGGACATCGGAGGCCTTTAGCTACTGGAGTCTCGTGACTCAAAAAGAGAGATGGACTGAGTGACTAGTGTTTTAAAAGGGCTGGCTTCTGTTTTGACAACTGACTGGCTGATGGGGAAGGCAGAATCAGAGATGATTGCAATAGTCCTACAGAGGGATGCTTTCAACATGTAGCGTATTCTTTTAACCCTTGGGGACCCCCAGTCAGTTGTTTCACTTGCGCGCGCGCGCGCGCGCGCACACACACACACACACACACACACACACACACACACAATCTGCAGGCAGAGATTTCAAAGGCTTCTCTTTTTAAGAAACAGAAGACATTTACAGGGAGGCAGATGAGAATCTGGCATTTGTTTGAAAATTGATTATTTTTTCTTCCCTGCTTCAGGGCTGGATCTTGGCATAAATCTTCGTTAAGTCCCAGATGGACATGAAAGTACCAGACAGGGCACACTGGACTGCACGTGCCACCTGGCAATTCCTTGGTCTTCAAAAGTAGATCACCAGCTTGCAGTTCTCCCAGGCCCTCTGCCTCTCCCGCTTCTCCTTCTCATTAAAAACTTTCCCTGAAAGTTCCCTGGGAATAAGGCAAGAGATGCATGTACTACTTATTTATGGATTCCCTTCTGTGGAGGTAACAGAGAAGGATGTCAAAACTACCAACCAGAACACTGTATGGAAAAATGTGTGGGGAAAAAACCTAGACTTAGCTATTGTGATTCACCGAGCATTTATGCCCAGCCCATAGACAAAGGCCACCTTGCATCTGTGTCATGGGCGAGGTCAAATTCAGCCCATCTGACTTGTCTTATTTATTAATAGTTCACATAAAGTTGACCCTTTTCTAATTTCTCTTGGAAAAGGAGTGGGTCTACCAACACTGGGCCTGCCTTCCCACACAGGGGGCTAACTTGCCTCCTTCACACAGAACACCCATGCGTCCTCCAGTCCGCCATGGTCCCTGCCACTCCCAGTCCTTGTCATCCCAGCTCATTCCTGTATTTATGATAACTGCCTGGCTCCCTGCCGGCTCTGAGGCCGCTACCCTTCTACAGACCAAGAGCAGACAGACTTCCATTTCTGCTTTCAGACACAGTCTTGAGAAACCTATTGGCTTCAACACGCAATTCATTAATTTGTGGTGACAAGCCACTAACTGGCTTATAAGTCACTTTTACCTCTTTGGGCTTTAGTTTCCTCAAACATTTGTAAAAGAAGGGCATGAATTTCTAAGGTTTCTTGCAGTGATTATGCAGTTCTATTCTAACAGATGCTTAAATGTAAAACCTCTTTTCATATTCCCAAGGATCCAGGGTACTTTCCAGACATGATCTCACCCCATCGTTCTTGCTCTGAAGATTCCACATTATGGATCGAGAGCAGGCTCCAACATGACAATGCATATCAGCCCCACCAGACTCCTCACCTTCTCCCCCCCGCCCACATCCACTCTGAGCGTGCTGCTTGCCTGGTATGAATCAATAACTGGAAGTGGGGAGGTCACTGTAGATGGGCACTGAGTTAATAGGCGCACTCGCGGTCTCTCAAGAGATTTTATAAAAGTCACTTTAGCTCTATTAACATCTCAAGTTCTCCCTCGTATTGCCGGAGAGTGGGGCTCACTCAGCTGTTCCAAAAGGTTGGGAAGGAATCTGATGCTCCACAAGGGAAGGGGGTCATAGTGAAGAGACACAGAGTGCATGCCTAGGGGATTGCAATTCGTGATAACATTTGATAAACCAAAGTGCAAAGAGAATTGGGGTATGGTAGAGACAGACTCCAGATCTGGCCACGCACACGTACGCACGCACACAAAGCAGTAATATATTGGTAAATTCTTCTATATTACCCAAGTCTGGAAAAAAATTGTATAGCCTTGTCCTGGTTTCTCAAATTTGAGTGTTTCTAAATGCTTTTTTAAACATCAGTCTACAAATGACTCATGCTCAGCTAGCATGTGGTTCACTGGGCCACTTACAGCTTTCCCACATAGACGTCCATATACATTTTCCCCAAGATGCTTTTAATTTAAATTTTCCTTTTCCTATGTAAAGGAACTACACTTTTCCCTCAATAAGCCTTACCTTTCTCTTTCTCCCTACCTCATTGATCTGTTTAATACCAATACCAACTCCACTAAAATCACACAAATTTAATGTTCTTGCCAAGACACTACTCTGCCTCATTGGAAGAAACAAGCACTTTCCAAGTACAAGCCACTCACGAGCTGTTCACCTACTTGATCTCTGCCTGGCATATCACCCATATTTTCTTGATTTGCTGAGAAGTAGCTATTAAGATTTTAGATTCAACAATACATCAACATTAGGCCGGGCGCGGTGGCTCA